TTGATATTTTTTATTGACTTTTCAAGTTTTCCCAGGTTAGATTGAAACTTTTCCTGCTAATAATGCTGTCTCAATATAATTTTTCTTCCATGTAAGCAAATACTGAGCTGAGATTCCTAAAAGGCAAATCCCTGCAGCATTCAGAGGCTCCCGTAGAGGCAAAATCCTGTGTCTGAGGAGAGCTGTGCTCTCTGTGGGACACACACATGCTTCCTTCCAGCTGCCACCAAATCACTTACTGGGACTCTGCTTCCTTGTAGGTGCCTAAATAATCACTTACCTTTCAGCATGTGCAGCTACCTGCAAGGAGATCATTCCTGGCCACCTCCACACAACAGCAGAGATCCCACCGGAGTCCTTGGCTTTCCCTTCTCCTTACCCTGCAGCACTGTGTCCTTGTGTGACTCCCCACCGGCGGCGTGTGGGGCAAGGGCTGTTGGCAGCCTTCCTGCCCCTTCCCTTGAAGGAAGTCTGGCATTCCAAAGACCTCCCTGTGCATTCCCACCCTCTGTGTACCCATCAGCTCACCCGGCACACTGTGTTCCCCTGTCTCTGCTCTTCTAGGCAGGGAAACTGAGGCACGGAGCAGTGCATCCAGCAGTGCCTCCTTGGTGACTCCTCTTCTCCCTGCGGTGCTGTGTGGCAGCTTGATGCAGCAGAATGGCACAAATGACGAGTTGGACACAAAGGCAGGACCCAGAAGTGCTGTGATTCATGTCTAACACCAACTTGGGGTTGCTCTGGGCAGCTTGGCATGAGAGCCAGGCTGGGTGGGGAGCTGGCTCCGTCAGGCAGGACAGCCCTGCGTCCGGGGAGGCACGGGAGGAAGGTGGAGATCCCAGCTCTGATCCACACCGGGAACTGAAACCTGCTTCTTGTCTGTGCTGAGATCTGCATCTCACAGGAGGATTTGGATCCGAGTTAGGCACTGAGGTAGGGCGAGCTTCCCAGCCTTGGACTTCATTTTCCTTAGGTGCAGCATGGAACTGACACTGGTTCTGTGCTGTACCCACAGGCTTCGAGCCTGGCTTAGCAACGTGTGTAAAGCTTAGGGGCTTCTTGCCCCTCAGAACCTGGATGTGGCCATGAGCACAATCTACCCCTGTCTGCAGTTTACAGTATTAAGCAAAATTGCAAGATCTTGGCTAAGTACCTATAACTATATTAACCCACTGATGAAGTATTCCCCATGTCCACCTGCAGGCTCCTCTTCTGTGATGGTGTAAACTTCCCACTGGAAAAAGAGGGTAAAACTGATGAGATGCTTTTTCTTTTCCTCCAGCAGTGTTTGGTTTCCAAGTGGCCGGGAACAGCTGTGGGCTGGATGGTGGGAATGTGGCCTCCGAGGTAATTCCCCTCATTGCAACCACGTACATTTTCCCAGCTGCTTCCAGGCGTTGGCGGGGTCTGTACTGGGAGCCCCCGGGATGGGAGGAAGGAGCTCTTCGAGGTGACACAAAACATCTGAGCCTGTTACCAGCAGGTCTCAGAGGGGCTCAGCCTGCAGCAGGACCCTCTGGGCATGGAAGGGATGCTGAGGGGGTGCATCTGAGACCCTGCAGCGCTGGGACGTGTTGCCCCTCAGCTCCAGGGACACGGGGACAGGCTGGAAAAGGGCTCTGGAGCTGCTCACCACAAGGCTGCAGCTGTGCGTGCGCTCAGAAGTTGTTTGTCTCCGGAGCCTGGGATGTGCCAGGCTCAAGGGCTGAGTCATTTGATTGCTCCAACGCGTGCTGAAGGGATGGAGGAGGAGGCTGCCATGCAGAGGGAGAGGGCAGAGACCCCGTGGGCTGATGGCTCTAATGGCACCGAGCTGAACTTTCTGCTTGAAAAGCTTTGGCTAGCAGGAAAAACACCCCGTGTCCGGTGTGGAGAAGAGAAAGGAGCCCCTGTGTGGCAGGCCAGGGCCGGGGTCAGCACTGGGGAGCACACACTTGTTCCTTTAGAGGCTGCAACGTGTAATTTAGCTTGTCACAGAGGAATGTGCTCAATGCCTTTATTTAATCGGGAGTTTGCAAACCTGCTCGGGTGCCTTGTCTTCCTTTTTCCCTTCCCTTTCCCAGCCAGGGGGAGAGGGAACACGGTGCTTTTGTCTCCCCCCCTGGCTGCTGTAGATGAATGGCTTTAGTGGCAGCTCTGCTCGCATGACTGGGTTGAGCTATGCCAGTGAACACGCCGCAAGCTCCCTCCCAAATTCAGCTGCATCAGATGTTTTCCTACGCACTAGCATAAACCTTGTTACTTACTAGAAATGTGGCCCTGCGGGTTCCAGGGCATTCTTTGGGAGGAGGAGAACACCATGTGGATGTGGCTGGTTCAAGGCTTAAAGTCGGTGAGGGGTAGAATGGAGTAGAGTTGTAGTTGCTCCAGCTCTGTAGAGGTTCCCCTGCTCACCTCTGCTAGGGCCCTGCTTACTAAAACATCTCTGCTCAGGAAAGGAGGGAGCTTAAGCACATGTTTAAGTGCTTTCCTGAATCCTGGCCAGGTCCTGTGCGTTAGCAGAGCACAACCTCACTCATCTTCCTCTCCTATCTGAGTAAGAGGAGCCCAGATGTTTGGAGATGACCCCTCCTGCCTCTGGCAATGGGGCTGCTCTGACCAGCAAACACCCCTCTATTGACACATCCCTCCAGGGCAAAGGAAGAGGTGGCAGGGAAGCAGGTCTGTCTGCGCAGGCAGCAGTGTTTGCCTCTGCTGCTGGGTAGAGTTGCATAGAAACCTGGAAAAACCCCAGCCACCACCTTTCTTTGGGAAGAAGGAAATTGCTCTCTAATCGGGCGTGTGGAAGTGAACTTGTGTGCTGACTCCAGAGGAATTTCGGCTGTTCCCCGGGGGTTTGGAATTGCTGCTTGGGTCACATCCCAGCTCTGATCTCGGACTTGCCTTTGGGAGCGGGATTCCTCAGCACAGAGCTGCTGGTGTTTGAGGAATGAGAGTGATGCTGAGCAAGCCAAGTGTGTGTGTGCAGCTTAGCTGGGTTCTCAGCAGGAGGTGCAGAACTCCCCCACTGACATGGACATAAACCTTCAGGGAGCAGAAGAAAGCCCTAGAAGTTGTCTTCAGGACAAATGTTTTTAACCACACTGCTCTCATTAATGACACTGCAAGTTCAGGGGCTAAACCCCTCTGCTTATCTCAAAGCAAGACCTGAAACCCTGCTATGTGCAGGTATTCTCACTGGGATGGGATTCACATGGGCAAGTGGTGGGAGGATTAGGAAGCCAGGGCTGTAAAGGTGTTGCTGCATTATACCATTACTGGATGATGTTAGGGTCCTTTCCAACCTGAACCATTCTGTGATTCTATGACTACAGTTTTGTATCACCAGGAAATAAGAGAGTTTAGCAGAGACCCCTCCTGATTCCTCCAGAGATCTGGGGACCAGGGAATGAGGATGCCCTTTTCTTGCTGCCTTGGGATGGAGGATGGGGCAGCATCTCTTGTCTCTCAATTCAGATCCAGGAAGTTGGGCTCAATGAAGGGGCAACAGGACAAAACCTTCTGCCTCATAATGACCTTAATATACCCAAGCTGGAGCTGTGAGAGGTTCTTGTAGGGTATCTCAGTCATGTAAGAAGAGAAGCTGCTGGAGACCTCAGAGCAGCTCCCAGTGTCTGAAGGGGGCTACAAGGATGCTGGAGAGGGACCTTCGTCAGGGACTGGAGTGACAGGACAAGGGGAGATGGGTTCAAACTGAAACAGGGGAAGTTCAGGTTGGGGATGAGGCAGAAGCTCTTCCCTGTGAGGGTGCTGAGGCGCTGGCACAGGGTGCCCAGAGAAGCTGTGGCTGCCCCATCCCTGGCAGTGTTCAAGGCCAGGTTGGACACAGGGGCTTGGAGCAACCTGCTCTAGTGGAAGGTGTCCCTGCCCGGGGCAGGGGCTGGAGCTGGATGACATTTAAGGTCCCTTCAACCCAAACCATTCTATGGTTGTGTGGTGGTCCTGCAGCTCAGGAGGGGTTGGTGAACACTGTGCAGAGACCAGAGGAACACCCAGCACGGAGCTGCCTCCGACACCAGTGTCTGATAAACAAGGCATTTTTCCTCTCCTTCCCCAGCAAGCGTTAGAGGGCTGGGCCCGGGAGCCCTGGGAATCAACAGGAGTCTTTCCAGTGTGGGCTTTGGATCTTGGTCTGGATAAATAAATAGAAGGAAATAACAAATAACATGGTTCTAACAAATCGCTTAGAAAAGCCTTTCACTGTGACTGCATCCAAACCCCACAAAGGAAAAAATTCCCCTATTCTATGATGCTTTTCCATCTGCCTTTCCCCGGTGATTGGGAGTGTTCATGCAGGCACCTTGGCTCGGGAACACGCCTGGTCACGGGGAAACCCTGTGTGGGATTTCTCTGACCACCTTTGTGAGCGAGGTTTGTGCTTGTTACTGAAGGGACCCCCCTCGTCTGCAGACTCGGTTGCTGGGTGTGAGTGGCTCTGTACAAATAAATGCTGGTTTGGAAGATCTTTTCTGCCGGTTCCTGGCCTCTGGATGGAGGTTTTTCCCCCTCTCCTGCTCGCTGCTGCCTTGCAGCGACACCTGCTGCGCACTTCTAGGAGGAGAGAGGTTTTCCTGCCCCTCAGCCCTGGGCAGGCTCGCAGCAAGGCCAGCGTTGGCTTTCAAGGTGGGAGAAAAGGAAGCGAGAAGTCTGCTCCTTCCTCACACGAAACCAGTGCGACTTCCCGGCCCGGGGAGGTGATGCTTTGTTTCGGAAACACCAGCCCAGCTTGGGGAAATGATGAAAAGCTCCTGGCACGAAGCTTGGGAGAAGCAGTGCAGGTACCTGCCTGCCCCAGCGCTTGTGTTGAAGAGGGAGGAGGCAGAGCAGCATGTCCTGTTCGCTGGGCAGTGCTTTGGAGAGCCTCCGTGTCTCAGAGGGAGATGTGAGCACTAACACACCAGGACAGCGCTCGCGGCAGCCGGGAGCTGCTGTGGGGCTGGAGGGACAGGCCAGCCTGCCTGGTGTCATCCCTACTAACGCTTTGCTCCCTGTGTGCAGCTGTAGGACTTTGGCAGAGCTGGCCATGATGTTATGGTTCGTGGTCGGGGCCCTCCTGCCAGCGCTGCTCCTGGCTGCGCCCCCCCCCATCAACAAGCTCGCCCTCTTCCCCGACAAGAGCGCTTGGTGCGAGGCCAAGAACATCACCCAGATCGTGGGGCACAGCGGCTGCGAGTCCAAGTCCATCCAGAACAGGTAGGATCCAGTGCGGGGCTGGGCACAGCTCATTTCCACCTCCTGGTGGCACCAAGTGGCTCCCGGGGCTGCCACTCGCACAAGAAGCCAGGCACAAAGTCCTGCCTCTGCCTGGCTGCCTCCTGACTCGGTGGAATCTCCTTCTGCTCCTGTTGGGAAGAGCAGGCACCTCCCCTGAGGTTTCACCCCTCCCGTTGTCTTTGCAGGGCCTGTCTGGGACAGTGTTTCAGCTACAGTGTCCCCAACACCTTCCCTCAGTCCACAGAGTCCCTGGTTCACTGCGACTCCTGCATGCCAGCACAGTCCATGTGGGAAATCGTGAGTATCCCTGCCTGCTCCAGGGGTCTTTCTGCTCAGGGGCTCTCAGCTCTGCTCTGCAACCACTTCAGGACAAGTCGTTCTCCTTCCCTGAGGTTTTCCTACACGTAATTTTGGGTGTCTCTCAGTGACATCACCCTGTCTCGAGATGCCTGGTGGAAGGGGCTGCTGCAACAACTTCACTGCAGTGATGAATGATGCATTTATCACTGTTTGCAGAAGCATCCCCATCAGGCCCTGCATTATTCATCCCTGTGCTCATCCCTCGTGCCTGTTCTCTCCACCACTCCTGTTGTCGCCTCCTCCCACTTGGGAGTTTTTGCCTTCTTTGATGTCCACGAGTCCTTCCCACAGCCCATCTGCCAGGCCAAACAGCTCCGTGCCCCCATTGATCCTGGCAGAGCCATAAGCCCTGCCTCTGAGGCAAGCCAGGATGCTGGGCTCAGCTCTGCTGTGCTTTCAGCTCAGACCTTCAGGCAGATGGTTTAGTCCAACCTCTGGGATGCTCAGCAGCGTGTCTTGTGGGTGGCCTTTGAGTTACTGCCGAGGTTTCTGTGCCAGAAGTGACTGGGAGCAGCATCCTGCTTGAGTCAGTGCTCAACACAGCCCATCAGTGCGTGCTTGAGCCCAAACCCCCCCGTGTGCTGGGTGCACCCCGAGCGTGAGCAGCAGCTCAGGGAGGGCTCACGCCGCTCT